ATTGTTGTAGACACTGCATGGTTAGGCAAACTAAAACTAATCGATTGAGTATGCTATTGCATATAGCAACTGGAATAATACATTAATTCTATGTATTGATTGATTGTATATGATCTATGTTTATATACATGTGTTGTGTGGGAGGAGATAGGGGATGTACTCCACGTTTTAGGGGAAGATAGGGGATGGACCTCTAAACCGAATTTTGTGTGACATTGATACAGCACTACAATGTGTATCAAGTGTTGATTATGGAAGTGTTTGAATTGATTTGATATAGTACTAAAATGTATATCGTTATCAATTGTAAAGTATAGAAGTGATTCTATGATTGTTGATACAGCACCGAAATGTGTATCTTTCGCAAAGTGTGGGAATGGTTTGTGTTATTGATACAGCATTAAAATGTGTATCCCTCATGAATTTTGAAAGTGTTTTAAAGATGAGTCTAAATCTCATTAAGTTATTTGGCTAGGTGTTGAGCCTTGTTTTCAAACTCAAAGTTGGAAAAGACATGGGAAATGAAATGTAACATGGACTTAATGTCATGAAATCGAAATGTGATGTATGTGGATGCATCTGTGTTGACCATCGATCAACTGCTAATGTTTTAGTCATTGTTCATGGCTGGTTTAGTGTATTTCTACTGGGCTGTGGCTCACCTTTTATGGGACATCATTTTCAGGTACAGGTAGCATGTCACCTCCAAGGACATAGCTTGGGAGGCTAGAAGCAGACAGACTGCTTTGTTATTTGCTTTCTTTTGATGTTTTACATGTAAATTCAAACCAAGGGCTTAGTATGTATTGAGTTAGTACTTTTCTTTTTGTAACCAAGTGTTACCTTGGAAAGCTATAAGCCTGTAGGGCAATTGCTTTTGTTGTTAACATGTAATACTTTTGTAAGAACTACTCAGATTAATAGAAAGATCGGTTGGTTTCTTTGTATCAATGCATGTCTAAAGAGATGGGTTTTATATATTTTTTTTTAGGGCGTTACACGAAAACTGAGAAACTTTCATTCTTGTAAAACTGATACATTAAGCCTCTTATTAAAAAAAAAATCTCATACAATAAAATCAGTTTTGCATTATAAAGTGTACATTACGGACTCAATATCAAAAGAAAATACCCTTACATACCATAACTAAAATGGATCCTTGAAAATGAATAGGACATGCACATGAAATGCCTATTTTAAAATGTTATAATTTTATAAATGCAATCGTGTTGGCAATTTGTAAAGAAATCTACAGTTGTCCCAGAAAATACATTTAAAAATCAATATAAATTCTCTGTCACATGTCAAATCCATTATAAGAGTTTTCATACCGCAGCTACAAGGAAGCATTAAGAGTGAACATAGTGTATTAATTTATATCTGTCAATTTGAAACATTAAATTGTGTTTTATACAACTAAACTTCAAAGGATTTATGTAATGTGTTTATCAGTGTATTTATATGTATGGCTATTTCTTTTCAAATGAGATAGAAAGACAGTGTCATACACAATAGCAGAAACCGCGCGACAGTATCTCTCCCACATACTACGAAATCTGGGTTGACCTCCAAGATCCCACAACTTTATTGTAACATTCCCTTTAGTTACTTTCCTCATATTGAATCCCACCTGAAGAGCAAATGGCATGCAATGTGTTAATATCCATAGAATGACAAAATGAGGCTGACAATTCTCTAACGAAAAAAGAAACAAAGAAAATGTAGGAGATTCTTTTGCCCAAAATAAGAGCTAAGTATGAACCCCTCTAAAGAAGAGAACTCACTGTAGGGATCATGTCTTCACTATATCCACCAGTCTATAAGCAAAAACAAGAAGCCAGTTACCAATGCATCAGAAGTAGGCGCCAAAAGTTGAAGGAAGGGGGAAAAAATAGTCTGATTTACATTTATTAACTTACAGCAATGACATTTACAAGTGAAGTTTTTCCAGCATTCTGAAGCCCTATCAAAGAAAGCTCCATTTCCTGCTTAAAAAAGAGGCTGCAACCATGTAAACAATAACCCAAATGGGACAGTTAGAGCAGTCAGGGAAACAGAAAAAATTTGTGCCAAACAATGATATTGAAACATTCCATGAAAAAATTCTCAACACAAGTTGTTTCACAAGAAAAGTCACCAATATCACCCTGAGGCGAATTCAAACTTACTTATCTGAGGACAGCATGTGCCACTTCTACTAGTCAACTATGTTTGCATTCCAAATATAACATCTCTTGGAGTTTTAGTGAGAAAGAATTGCAATTTATATGGATTGGAGTTTTACAAATGCATCTCAAACCCAAGTTACCAAGCCACCAGTCCTTAGGGAAGAGTGATACAATACACATCAACTTATTTGTTAATAATGAGGGTAAGCAGATGAGAAACAGAAAGTGTATGACGAAAACTTTGAGAAATGAACACCAAAAACAGCTTACAAGTTACATGTAGGCATACGGCAGATCCATGTCAAAAAGCAGGAAGGCATACCCAATTTATGGTTATAATGAAATGTCCAATGCTCACATGAATTACATCATTCACCCTTCCAAAGTGGTTAAATCCTTACTCCAAACACTTGCTACGCCTCAAATTTACAGGAATCAAGGGTGCAGCTAAATTTTTTTTCCTAATTTTCCAACCTCTCAAATCCTTCATGTAAGAAAGCCCATATTAGTAAAAATATTGGGTTTCCCCTTTTCTTAGTGTTTGCTACTGCTCAACTGAAGTTCAAGAAAATCAAGACATGTTTTACAGAACTTTTAGCACATAAAGTGATTTTCCAAAGGAAAATAGAAAATACCCACATCAAGGAAACACCAAATGATATTTTCAAGACTATTTTTTTGTAATCCAGTCAACAATGCTAAAATGACTGAAAACATCATCTACTGAAACTTTTCACTGTTTTCAGATAAACATGCACTAAAACTTATTTATAAAAACACTCGTGCCCAACAAGCCTAAGGATGAGGTGCGAACATTGTACATGCGAAGTACACAAGCTGTCATTCTTGCTATGAGTGTGGACATTTTAACGAGTTCAACCCAAATGGCATTATTAAAACTTGACATTCTGTTCGGTATCATTCTTGAAAAAAATTATATCTAAAAAAATACATGTTCAAAAGAACTATTTTCTAAAAACATCCTCCTTCTAGGAAAGAGTTTTAAATTGTTTTCTGGGTCAAAATAATAATAAAAATGATTCATACAGTGTCAACAATGAGAAAATATTGTGTTTTCAAACTTGCCATATTTTTTTTTTTCCCCCTAAAAATATGAAAAACGAATAAGACAAGCCCTAATGTTCTACAAACCACATAGGATGGAACCCATCCGTGAAAACTGACCAAGCTCTCATTCTAGCGATGTGGGAGAATTGTTAGGATCGTAACATATCACCATGCTCCACAGTTGATGTCCATGGCAGCCGCACTCAATCGATACTGACCCTAATGGTAGCCCTTTTATCTTCTAATGGCTTCACTTACCAATCAGTATTCCACAACTTGACAAGTATCTTAATCCAACCAGTTGTTGTCAAACACTAATAATTTTATTAAAATAGTGAATTGTGAATCATAAATGCGCTTTATTTAACATAATATATAATTTTATATATGTGCATGCATAAAAAAATAGTGTCTAAAATAAAATTAATATCAATATAAATAAATTGTATATATGTTTATATACATATAAAATCATGTATATCAATAAAATTAACTAATCTTTTTTTTTCTTTTCTTTTTTTTGAAAATGGCATAGTTTCATAATATTGTGTAAATATAAATGAATCGTAATGAATTGCAATCACTCGCAATGAAAATCATAGTTATTGAATTGTAAAATTCACTCAATTTAAAATTCAACAACACAAATTGAGTTGTTTTAATTGAAACTTGTATCAAATCGTACAAATCCAACCGTGAATTTCAAGATTCTAACGACTATATGATCCAGCCTATTCAACGCCTCCTCCACAACTCGAACCACAAAGCCGCACCCATCTGATCCAATCCCATATTCTACATGGTGGCCAACTCTGACACCAAATGATACAAATCACCTAGATAGAACTCACCTTTGAAAAGCGACTTACAAAAGTAGAGTGCCCAAGATGCACATGGCCAAGCTCAGATTTTAACTATATGTAGGAGAATTGTTAGGACCGTAACAGCGGGATTCTATGATATTCGGTAAATATTGTCACTTCATAGTGAATTGATATCGTAGTAGTTGCTACAAGAGAGACACAACCGAACTAAGACATTATTGTTGCCTGCAGACTGACCTAGGGCTAGCCTAGTTGGGCAAAACACTTGCATGTACACAAAACAATTTTTGAAAAAAGAAAAACCACAACAGATCTCACAACATATGAAGGCCCCTAATAAATCCATTGATCCATTCACAAAACAATCTGTTTCCGAAAAGCAAGACAAACGCAACAATTCACCATAAATTACCTTGTGCAACTTAAAAAACACAAGTTTATTGAAAACAAAGTTTCGTTATAGAATCAAAAATTGATGTTTATGTGAATGAACAGGCATCAAAATCTTTTCAAAATGATTACATACACAACACGGCATCGTCTGTATATATGGAAAATTGGAGGAGTGAGAGAGCTAACCTTCGAAGCCAATTGAGAAAAGCTTCCCAGAGACCCATTGATGGTGAGAGAGAGAGAGATCTGAGCCTTAGATTGGTCTCTCCGGTGAACTTTTTATTATTTTTTTGGTTGCCTTTTCCGTCGCTATGGATTATTAGTAGTAATTTATACGAATACAAAGGTATGAATGATTACCGGAGAGACAAAATGGACCTCTACGACACAACACACACCACAACGCGAGAGAGGAGAGGACAAAAGAATCCAAGCTGGGACAGTGCTAAATCAGTACGTGGACCAATCAAAGATGAGTTTCCTTGGATGTGATTCTATTCCATACTATTTGTCAATATCCTATTGGAGTTGCAATCAACCCCCCTTATTCTTCAGGGCAACACAAATTTCCACAAAAATAATAATTAATAATTGTTATCATTCATGTAAACACTGACTAATTAATTATCTTATCTTCTATAAATTTTATACGTGTCGAACGAATAAGGAACTAAATAAGTAAATGATGTTAATAATAAGGAGCAGATAAGATAAATTGTAACATTTTATTGATCAGACATATAAATACATGATCTTTCTTACCTATTGAAAATAATTTTGATAAACTACAATTTTGTTTGAGTTTGTTTTTGTTTGTGTATTTTACTAGGTGCTAATCTAGTTGAGATTTGATAGTGTATAATTTTACTTTTGCTCTTGTCTCTTTCTTTATTAATGTATGATTATATATATTTATGTCGATTATCATCAATAATTTTTTTTTTATTGATCAAAATAAAAACCACACAAATGGATTAATAAAATGAAAAATTATTCAAAAAATTTATATACTATGGGTTTATTTTTAAATGACATGGAATAAAGTGTACATGAAATTAAGGCTTTGTTTGGAAATATATTATTTTAATAATTTTTTAACTTTTTATAAAAAGATGTGTAAAAAAAATAAAAATAATTATATGACAATTTATAATAACTTTTTAACTAAAATATTTAATTCCTAAATAAGGCATAACTATAAGGAGCAATAGTAAAAATTACCCCTTTTTATTTCATTAAATTTGAACTCTTTTGTATAAATATGTAAGGATAAATTAAACTTTGCTTCTTTATAAAAGTGTAAAAATAGCCCGTGACTTGAGGTGGGCCAAGTTGGATTAGGCCCGGTTAGGCTCGAGCCAGAGCCTAGCCCGGGACCCTAGGCCATCATTTTGAAGCTTGGGGCAACCCATCAACCTGCTTAAAGTTCGGCCCGCTTGAGGCTCGGTGTCATTTTTGGTGAAAAAAATAGAAAAAAAAAATTTTGTTCAAGCCCTGCCTAAGCTTGAGCCCAGGCCCAGGCCCAGGCCCAGGCCCAAGTCCACCGCTCAGCCCAAAGCCTGAATACCGTTTGTGCCTGGGCCTAATTTTCTAGCCTGTAGGCCGGCTTGACCCAGCCAAAATTTTGGCAGAAGCCCGTGAGGCCCGACATGGGCCAGCCCAGACTGGGCCAAATTTACACCCCTCGGGAGTGTAAAAATGGCCCGAAACTAGTGGACGGGCCGAAGCCTGCTCGCAGCTTAGGGTGGGCCTGGCTTGATTAGACCCGAGCCTAGTCTGGGACCTTGGGCCTAGGCCATCATTTTGAAGCGGGCCAATAGACCCGAGCCTAGTCCGGGACCCTGGGCCTAGGCCATCATTTTGAAGGCGACCTATTGGCCCGCTCAAAGCCCAGTCTAAGGCTCGATCCACCCCAGGCCCAGTATTATTTTTTGTGTAAAAAAAATAGAAAAAAAGATATTCAAACCCTGTCCAAGCTCGAGCCCAAGCCTAGGCCCACCGGACTGCCCAAAACCCGAATATCCCCTTGGCCTAGGCCTAATTTTCTGACACGTGAGCTAGCCCGGTCTGGCCCGAATTTTGGTGAGAGCTTGTAAGACTCGACATAGGTCGGCCTGAGCTCAGGCCGAGCCAAATTTACACCCCTCTCAATTTCTTTACTTTGAACTCTTACGGTGTATTTGATTAGGGTATTTAGAAAGAAAAAAAGAAAAAGTAGATAAAATATGAATAAAATATATTTACATTTTATATAGTTTCACATACTTCTTTTTAAAAAAAAAAAATTATTTCCAAATCTCTCAATCAAACTTAAGGTTAAATTTTATTTTTTTCATTTTCTCCCTTGAAGTTACAAAATTTTCCCATTACACTTCCGTCCGAATTATTGACGGAATTTGCCACTTAGGTATACCATGTCAGAAGTAAAACCAAGTGTGACTTAAGTTGTTTTTCTCTTTCTAATTTTTTTGTTTTTTTTTTAAGTAATTTTATAACTATACAAATAAAGATCTATAATGAAACTCAATACATATTTTTGTAAGAAATACAAAAATAAACAGAACTAGGGAGTGTAAAAATGGCCCGAAATCAGCGGGCGGTCCGAAGCCTACCCACGGCTCGAGGTGGGTCTGGCTTGATTAGACCCAAGCCTAGCCCGGGACCCTGGACCTAGGCCATCATTTTGAAGCCGGCCCATTGGCCCGCTCAAAACCCAGTCCGAGGCCCAGTCCACCTGAGGCCTAGTATTATTTTTTGTGTAAAAAAATAGAAAAAAAAAATACTCTGTCTAATCCAAGCCCAAGCTTAAGCCAAGCCCAAGCCTAAGTCCACCGGACTGCCCAAAGCCCGAATATCTCCTAGGCCTGGGCCTAATTTTCTGACCCGTGGGCTGGCCCGGTCTGGCCTGAATTTTGACGAGACCTCATAAGACCCGACATAGGCCGGCCTGAGCCCGGGCCAGGCCAAATTTACACCCTCTCAAATTTTTTACTTTGAACTCTTACAGTGTATTTAATTGGGGTATTTAGAAATAGATTTAGAAAATAAAAGAGAAAAAGTAAATAAAATGTGAATAAAATATACTTACATTTTATATAATTTAACATTTTTTTTTTTAAATTTCTTTCCAAATCTCTCAATCAAACTTAAGGTTAAATTTTATTTTTTTCATTTTCACCCTTAAAGTTACAAAATTTTCCCATTGCACTTCCGTCCAAATTATTGACGAAATTTGCCACTTAGGTATACCATGTCAGAAGTAAAACCGAGTGTGACTTAAGTTTGTTTTTCTCCCCTTCCCCCCTTTTAATTTTTTTTTTTTAAGTAATTTTATAACTAAAAAAATAAGAATCTATAATGATATTTAATACACATCTTTGTAAGAAATATAAAAATAAACAGAACTAAACTATTTTTATAATTAATTTTATAACTAAAAAAATAAGGATCTACAATGAAATTCATTACACATCTTTGTAAGAAGTACAAAAATAAACAGAACTAAACTGCTTTCAGCAAAGGACATAAAACTATGCCTACAAAAGGCATAAAACAACTATTACAATAATGAGGATTCAAAATTTCCTTCTCGCACTTTTCAGGTTATAAAATTTCTCTTTGAATTTGTTGGAAATGGTAGAAAAATTCTGGGTAAAACCAGAATTTTTTCTCAAGTTTGGTCTATTTTTTAGGTGGGCCCTGAGTGTCGGTTTACTCGGGTCAAAGTGGTAACGCATTCTATGCCGTGTTGTGATTCACGTGGTATATTTGGTTGCTCAAAACCATTACCGAGTGAATGGGAAATTGAAGCCAAAGTGTGCTCCATGGAAATGGAGTTTTGGTGGAAATTCCTTAAGGTTGTAAATTGGCTTGTCCCACATTGATTTGGTGGGAAGTTTTGAAAGGGTTTATAAGGCTTAGGGTGAGATACTTGGGGTGTGCCCCAAGGGGTACCAAAG